CACCTCAAGGTGTGGCCTGACGTATGTTTTGTACAACATTAGAAAGAGCTCAGGAGTGAGTGCACCTAACTGTCTATGCGTAAAGTGTATGACCGCATATGCCCTCGCTACATCCCCTGTGTAATTTACGCTTGTGTCCATTTTTTCCGTTAGAACTAGACCTAAGTCGCGTTCCGACGTTGTGCAGGACAAGCTTTCATTGCACAGGGTGTAACTTGCATTCTGCAGTCTACAGGTGCGCAACTTCACTACTTTGCACTTTTTCAAGTTGAAAGTCATGCCACTGGCCACCGCCCAGTCTTCCAGAAGGTTTAGGTCTTCCTGTAGCCTATCTGAGTCCTCCGGACACTTTATCGCCCTCCATATTTTTACGTCGTCAGCGTACAGGAGAGTCGGGCAGCTCAGACGGCGTGGTAGATCATTGATGAAAATCAAAAACATCAGTGGTCCTAGGATAGAACCCTGCGACACTCCTGATGACGATCTGTGCCAAGATGATCGGACTCGGTTAACCTTAGTGCAAAATTGCCTGTCGGCTAGGTAGTCCTTCAACCATGACAGAAGTGGCTCACCTATGCCTGCCTGTCTTATTTTATGTAGGAGAAGGTCATGGTGAACAGTGTCAAATGCCTTCTCAAAGTCTAGGAAGACCACATGGACTGGTACGTTCAAGTCCCAGCATGATGTCCAGTCGTCCCAAGCTGACAGTAGGTTAGTGACGCAGGATCTGCCTTTTCTGAAACCATGTTGGGCTTCATGCAGTATATTAGTCCTATCGAAATATTCCCTGATGTGGTCGTCAATAATACTTTCCAGTACTTTTGATACCACTGGGAGTAGAGCTACTGGTCTATAGCTAGCAGCGTTTTGCCTGTCCCCACCCTTGAAGATTGGAGAAAGGATGGCTCTTTTCCACTCCCTTGGCAGGGTCCCCGAATCCATTGAGTGTTGGAACAAGTCGCACAGGGGTCTACAGAGAGCCTCGGCGCACTGTTTCAGAACAGATGGCCTGATGTCATCACAACCTGGGGACTTCCCAGGTATGAGTCGCTGTAGCTTCCTTAGTACTATTGCGGGGTTTATTTGGGGAGTAGTCGCTAGGTCTTCCTCCTCTGAAATAGTGGTGCCACCATTTTGGTCCGTAACTGTAATATCCACATTGCTGTTTAGCTGTTTAGCGAAGGCTGAACTGAATGTTTCAGCCATCTCCAGACTAGTGAGATATTGACCGTTTGGGCCTACTAAGGCGCATGCCCCTTGGTTTGTCGGTTTTCTTTCCGACATGAATCGGTACAAGTTTTTAGGGTTTGATAGGAGTTTTTTAGCAAGGTTAGCCTGGAATGACCTTCTGTCCCTCCTAACTCTTGCATTACACCGGTTCCTGAGTTCGAGGTATGCATCATGGTCGGTCTGACTCTTAGATACACGCCACGTAAACCAAGCCCTCCGCTTTGCTTGCAGAATACGTTGCGTGCCTCTCTTCAACCATGACGTCTTTCTCTTAGGCTGTGTTGTGACTAAAGGGACGGTATCCGAGATTGCTGCATGGATAATCTTTTTTACCACTTCCCAGTGTTCATCCACAGATAGGTCGTCCCATGCTAAGGGCCAGTCTGCGTCGGACAAGAGCCTCCGCATTTCAGCATAGTCAGCCTTGCTGTAGCACAGACATGGTCGCGTAACATCCCATTGCAAACGCTCACGGAGGACAAGATCGAAACCTATGACTGCATGGTCACTGCTTCCCAGAGGAGTCATGATCTGGACCTTTTCGACGAGTAGCTGGTCACTAGTTAGAATATAATCTAGTTTTGATGACTTTCCACTAGGGCCCCACCTAGTGTCGTCTCCAACATTCTCAGTCAGTCCCGTGTTTCGAATAGTTTGCAGTAGGTTTCGGCCAAATTTTCCCTTAGCACACCCGGAGCCAAGGTTCAGTGATGGAGCATTGAAATCTCCAGCTATGGTGATTTGGTCGTAGCCCAAATCTCGTATTCCTGTGATAGTGCTGAGCAGTAGCTGATTGTGCTCTGCCCCACAGGTGGGAGATCGGTAGATGCCACCCAGTAAGTGCTTGGTGTGGCCTACGGTGAAATGACACCATATGGAGTCTGGGAGTTCGATAAGTGGTGGGTCCGTTGCGCGCACACATTTAAGTTGCCTATCAAAGTATATAGCAACTCCCCCTCCTTCCTTATTATCCCTGTCTCTCCTGACCAGTACCATATCACCTATACTGATTTCATTGTCGGCGATAGTGGGGTTTAGCCACGTTTCAGTAAAAATGATTATTTTCAGTTGAAGGTGTGCTTGGAGATTTCGAAGTTCACCTACTTTCCCTCTCAGCCCCCTCACATTGCTATATAGGCAACTGACAGTGAGTCTAACAACCTCAGAGTGTTGTGGGGTAGTTGACGTGAAACCGTCTGCTGGTGGGGGACTTGATGTTGGAACTAGTTGGCCGATTCCGATAGAACCGGCCCGTTGTAGTTTTTTTCAATGGATTTAGGCAGGACACTTGGGAGACACAGACTATTATTCTCAGAGCTGCATCGCTCTAGTGTCACCGAAGCTTGGGGTCGTATTAAAGCCTCAGTTTGCTGCCTCCTTATATTTCTGGGTCTGCTTTCACAGCATCGGATGTGTCCTCCAATTTTTCCCTTGGTCTCATACCACCGTTGAAGTGATATGGACAACTGCTCCGGGGAGTTGAATGTGACACACAGCAGCTTTGGAGAGTTAATCAATGTTAGATGAGCGGGACGAGGTAGTCGGAAAATGGAGATGGCTCCAGAAGCGCCAGGGGCCATCTGAGATGACAGCCATCTCCATTGTTGTACGTCGTGCATGTGTTTTTCACAAGCAGTGCCGGTTTCCAGCTCCGGAACACCGTGTACCACCATAGAGGTGGAAGGCATCAGTTCCGGTGACTCCCTCGCCATATTTCTGACGGCCCATGGTCTATCTTGCCGCGCTCTTATGTTAGAACTTCTGTCCAGGGCTAGTACCTGAGCCATTAACAGTACTTTTTCGGCCTCTTCGGCAGAGTCCAGTGTAACCCGTAATGGGGGTGGCTTACCCTGAGGCGTGTGGACACCCCTGTACAGTCTGCACAGTTTTGCTGAACTAATGTTCAGACCTAGTTTGCCGCACAGGTTGGACCACTGTTCCTGATCAAACAGGGCCCGTTGTTCGAGCAAGCTATCCGTGCTCACAGGTACGTTAAAGAGGATGAGAGAGTTAGACCGACTACCCTCAGACTTAGGTTTTGCCTTCGGCTTCTTGCAGTCCTTTGCATCATTAGCAACATTAGGCTTCGTCGGTACCTGGACAGCCTTTTTTGTGTTGCCAGGCTTGCTAGTGGATGCAAGTGGTGCCTTTGTAATTTTGCCCTCCCCTGATGTGGATGGAACCTTGCTAATCTTCACCTTGTGAGAATTGGCATTTCCAGTCAGTAGGGCTGGTGTGTCCTTCTTTAAGTCTTTGACCAGTTTCGGCAGTGCGAGTTTAGCAGGGGGGAGCTGCATGATACTGTGTTGGGGCACAAGAGCATGTTATTTCTGCTATCCGCAGACACGCTTTGTGGGACTATGCCAGGGCGACAAAGTGGACACACGTACCAAAACCATGGGCATGGGTTATTTCTCATAAACTCATAGTATGCTTTCGGTACTTCTTTGTCACAACGGCAGTGCACCCATCGTTTGCAAAAATTACATTCAAACGCTGAATCAGTTTTAGAAACTGTGATGTTGCACGCCTGGCATTCATCCCCTTTCCTTGATGACGCCTTCGAGGTCTTATGACGTCTTGAACGTTTCCTTTTAGGCTTGATGTGTTTCACACACTGGCCTACAGTTGATGCAGGTGTAGAATTCTGTCCTTCTGGTATTGCCTGTGCCGTTTCAGTACTAGACTGTGGCAATGCAGGCGTTGTATCAGGGCAGACTAAAGCTACACGAGTCTTTAGGATCGGTATGCGGGAAGGGGTTGAAATCCCTGGATTTTTTCCTTCCCTGGCTGAAGCCCTTGTGACTACAGAGTACGGTATTCTAGTGGCTTTTTTAAGGCTGCTTTCAACAACCATATTAACAATCACTATAAATTATGCTATGTACGTCTAAGAGAGCAACAGTTTCTAACCAAAAGAGCAAGAATAAGACTGAAAAAGTGTAAGGCAAGGAAAAGAAAAGGTTTTCGACTTTACCTAGTACTTTCTGAATGATCGGCTTCACGGCAATCACGTGGTAGACCAACAAGTCTTGTTTCTCTGAACGAGTGAGGAAGATGCTGCTACAAAAGTAGCACCTGAAGCTTTGGCAGTAGTTCGAGACAGCTGGACTTACCACACAGAGATTTACTATGTAAGTAATGGTTGAATTAAATTCACCGGCTAGGAAGATCAGGTTTCCCAAACGGATAATTCACAGAATTGGTATTTTCCGGTTGGAGAGGAAAAAGCACGTCGTATTCAAGGAGCGCGATGTGATATGTAAAAGTAGTGACATAATATTCGCGCTAACAATTAAAATTTAATTCTTTGAGCTGCTGTTTAAGTTTTAAACTTTCTGTATACCAAAATCGGAACAGTGAAAGAAAGAAAGAAAGGGAAAAACATATCACGTGAAACATAATATCTAAAAGGCTTCATCCATACGATTAGTCAGTTTCCAAACATTAGCTGTTTCTCTACCTAGACACTTGTAACAAATGGAAACACCACAGCTCCCTACAGCTAGTAATTCAAACTAACATATTTTTACTTCACCCTTATATGCATTTCACTAACCAAAGAAGCACCACACGTATTGCTTAATTTCCATCTGCAAACTCACAGGTGCGAATATGTGAGACCTTAAACAAACTTTAAGAGCTGAGAGCTTAGAGACCGTTGGTTCATAGTTTGCATTGTCAACGAACCATCTTACAGTATGGGACATGTATACGACTTATTTTAGTCGAATTCAGTTGCGGACACCCACCACAAAAGTATAACTTACCTGTGGTCCTAACTGACCATCACTATTGATTCCACATCCATATACGCCAAAATCCGAATTACTACTTTCGCATATATATGTTGTAAAACCGTATCCACATGCAGATTTGATCGGTTTAATCCGTTTGCCTGACAAGTGAGTCAGAGGAACAGGATGTGAAACACCCACAGTGTGGTGGGTGCCAGATTTCCCTATGTCCAACTTCGAGAAAAATGTTTAAGAGAGCACAAACCATTTAGACCAAGATATTCCCCTTTGCCGAGGGCTCCAGTAGCCGAGAAACCAAATACATACACCTGCTTCTGAGTCAACGCTTCTTGTGAATGCAAATCAACAACATTAGAATCTCTCTGCTGTTGTTTCCGCAGTACTTTTCTTGATGAATTAGCAATTAACACGGCAAATGGGCGACTTTTCGAAACAGCCGCTGATAAAGGTCGAAACATTTGTCCAACATGATGTCCAACATGCCTTGCAACTTCATTCAGATTTCAGAGTTATTGGTTGAGAATAGAAGGCTTGAAGACTATGCTAATCCTTTTCTAGTAAATTTCTGTGGTTATTCAAACCCTTCTTGAGTGAATCAGTTGAGGTTGCAGACACCACTTCTTCTGGGAGTCGTTCAAGAGTTTATGACTCGGTGTGAGAACCAGTACTCAACAGCAATATCATTTCTTATTGACTTTTGAACTCTCCTGCTATGCCCTCCAAGGTGTTCCGACCTGGTGGGAAGGAAAAGAGAGAATAAGTCAGGACCGTAGTCACTATTTAAAATTTTAAACATTCTGATTAAATCTCCTCTCTGCCTACGGTATGACATGGAGAAGAGACTTAAACTGTCTGGTCTTTCCTAAGTCAGTCATGCCGTGAACCATACGTGTTGCCTTCCTTTTAACCCTTTCTAGAATGTGCTATTCCCCTTTTAGACAAGGACTGGCGGGCTGAATGCAGTTTTCCAGTCTTGACCTCACCAGAGATGTATATAAGGAGGTGAAGATATCTCTGGTGGTTCCATAATAATAATAATGTACATTTTTATGTAAACACATAAATTTACATGCACATGCGAATAGTCCATAAGGACCTGAAACTACGTGCAGCCACCGCGCGACAGTGTGCTGTGGTTTTTAAGAGCCACCTACAAGTGGCTGTATTTGTCTGTGATGCTTCGTTCCGTTTTCTACTACTATATTTAGCTGTCGGTGTGTGCGTGCATTTTTAACAGGCTTACGTAGTGCTGGTTGATTACAAATATCGGTTGTAACTGTGCATTTTGAAATGAGATATTTTTTTAATGCACGTTACCTAAAATTGGCGTCAGCCCTTTGGTTTTGCCTTGCTCAGCGACAATATTAAGCGCATGAAAAAGCGTGGAGGACCAGTAAGATTTTTGTCTACCCCGTTTTTGATATCGAAAATAAGACGTTATCACCAGCTCCTTTCTATTTCTCTGCAATCCATCACATTGAAGAGTTCAGATGACAACTAGTGAATTGGTAGTTTGGAAGCAACTTGCTATTTTGCTGGTGAAATGGAGTTTGCTTCATCGTTTTTCTTACTTCAACACTGCTAGAACCGCCTACTCATATCGATGAGAAGCTAGAGAGTAAGCACTACCCTGTTAAGTCTGGCAGCTCTGATTCAGCAACAGAATTCCATACTACGTTTCGACAAAACCCACAGTTATTACTAACCCCACTTGGGTAAATCCACTCTGCTGACTTTCAACTTCGTTAAACTATTTAGCATCATCTCGTCATAAAACTCCTAGTCCACACTGTAGGCATAACTTCTTGTTTATAGATGGAGACAACTTCCCGGCACTCTACAGAAAAAGTTTCTTCTCTAGGCTTCAGTTCTTCTCTATGTAGTTGTGGTTATAAGTTATATTCAGGCACTTCACAATAATTCTTGGCTTAGCGAATACGTATGATGGGACCTGGGTAAAAAACAGTCAACACAATTAAAGTCGACACCTGCCAATGTGGATGTGTAGCAGTAATAACAGTCATTTGCATCCAAATAATTTCACACAAAATGAGGTTAACAGTATCTAGATTTTGGAAAAATTTTACCCGTTGTGCAAACAAAATCCGGACAGTTGGCCACGGAAATGAGGGTTAAAGAAAGAGAAAGTGGGTGTAATAATAATGTAGCACGGGGTGCCGCGAATGAATGGCTGTTTATTTACACGTTATAAACCTAGTTCGTTGATTCTTTACTGACAAGTGCTACTTCACAATAAAATAAGCCATGTCGGAAATTCATGCATAATCACGTAAGCAAAATTTCTAATGAAATTTTCTCTTTTTTTCTCGACAGAAGGTAACCAAATCTTAGAAAGAAAAGTGATACTAGGAAAAATAAAATGCATTTTATTTTACACAAACCTGCCTCCTTTGCTGCACGAATCATAGGATTGAATCAGTACACATTAGTCTAGCTCAATCTAGAAACCAAGAATGACAAGCTTATAGAAAGGTTCAGTTTGGGACCATTTTGCAGTCGCATTACTACTTGCGGTGCAACTCTTCCTAATTAAGCTACGCACCATTAAATGTGAACAAGAAGAGAGCAGACATAATGGAGAGTATTGTCATAAAATTATTTTCTGAATCCACTGAAGACTAATTTACATTGAAAGATGCACATTCTCAAGGAAACATAGCGGCTTTAAAATAAGGCACAAATTCGCCAAACCCAGTGGTGATAAATTTATGTACGGTAATTAGTCGATATCTGCATGTCAGAGGCTAGTAACTAGCCGAGAAAACTAATGAGAGTATAAATACACTTTTTCACTCACCAAAGGCACAATAAAACACAAAAATGGTCGTCCAGATACGCGATGTATGAGGGATAAGAATCGTAATGTGATGCCTGCTTAACTAGCTAGGGATCGTGCACAAACGACTAAACGTAACGCACCAACGTCGCAAAATGGCTTAAATGCTTGACAGCGAACCTTCAGCCTGGCGAGTAAACTTAAATGGTGGCGGTCGACATCCAGTGCTGATTGGGGAATGCTGTAGGCTAATAATTAAGAAGAATTACTTACCACTATAATTCACAGTCACATTTCACGAAGTTACGTCTATAAAGCTCTCGAGGTTATGGATGGCATGATAATGACTACTGTAGCAGCCGATGACTCGGGGAGATGTGTACATGCAGACTTCATCAAAGTAATCAAGATAAGAAAAGTCCTCATAGTTTCAGAGGAGGATGTTTGGTAACCAAAACTTTTAAGATACTGCAAAATTGTCCTGTTTAAAAATACGTCAAGTAATTATATCACAGGTCTTCACATTTACGGTTATCCGGCTTTCAGTCACAAGGAACACAATGACTAAACAGAATGACTGAGAGTTAACAAGTGTGTGGATTCAAACAAATAATAAGAAACTGCACAAAATAACTCAACAAATCTGTTTAACTTATATGGAAATGAAAAACAGGACATAAAGTATAATATTCATCATTCACAGCGCATTTCTAGATGCAAAAGCTATATTGCATTGGAATATCTTAATGCAGACCTTAACTAGCGTGACTTGGCAAGAAAGGCAGCTGTCAATGTCCAGGTCTCACTGCACTGGACCTCACGCTGTCCTTGGAAGACTTTCAGAAACAACTGCCAATAACCAACGCGAAAACCAGAACACAGATTGGCGACTCAAGAATCCTTTATTCTTTCGCCAATACGTGACCAACAATGAGGTTATTACACACAAGGCCTAAGAATAAATGTTATAACAATAAAACACGGTAATACTTCTGATAGTTTTCATTCTTCCAACGGACAGCAAACGATGGCACGATGACTGCTGGATTGATGACTCCCGCGAAAAATAAAGAGGATTTGTGTTTGAGAAAACAACAATGAATTGATCGTTCAATCTTCAACTACCTTGACGCTCCCCGGGAAAAAAGGGATCCATCCCTATTTTCCATCATGACCAATCCACGTTGACTTGGATACCAGTGCGAGAACCTGGGCCACATGGACAAAGCTGAAATGGAAAACAAACAGAAAAGCCAACACACCACAGGCATACCCACAGCACTATCTCACACACCGACGACGATCTACGCCTTCCAAGTAAAAACATCCTCTTGACATCTTGCAACACAATCGCCACTTTCTAGAATGACTCCTGCAGAAAGCAACGTGACCATAGCAGCGCCTGATGATACACTTCGTACATCCTCTTATCTGTTAACTACCAAATACCACCTACTCGTGGTGACGTTTTGGACCTTGTGTCTTGCCATTACACAATCCCAGTCTCCACCTACGTTGGTAATAGATTTTCCAGTAGTGACCATAGAATGGTACTCTACTCTCTGCCTTTCTCACCACTAAATACAAGAAACAAACAAGATTCAGGGAGCATGATATGTCGCAGTTACAAGCATACAGACTGGGGATTAGTCCAGGAACTTATTCGACTCTGTCAGTGGGATGACTATTTTACCACAGACTCCCAAGAGGCTGTAGTGTCCCTATTTTACAGGAATGGTACCCTATGTCTAGATACTGTTGCTCCACAGAAAATAGTGAAATTAAGTAGACACCGAGCTGAATATATTCCAAGGGCAGACCGTAATAAGTTGAGGAAGCTGAAGAAACAGTACTATTCCACTAAGGATATATCACTATCGCTTTCAATCCACGAGTCTCTTGCATCTATCAAGCACCTAGACTCTCAAAAGGACCTCGACGAAGAGTTAAGGGCACTTGAAAGTACCTCCAAAGCTTATAACTTAACAGTACTTCTTAACAAACCAGTGCAGTTGATGAGTGAAATCTCCTACTTACCTCACGACAAAGTAATCCACAATGAGCCTGCCAACGTCTGTGAACTTTTCAGTGATTGGTTTGCAAATCTTAGTGTAGAAACGAGCATACCTGGTGAAACCGCCCCCTTACTAGCTCTTCCCTCGAAAGCACAGTGTTCACTAATCAGTTAATAGTACAAGCAATTAAAAGCCTAAAACCTTCTACTAGTACGGGACCCGATGGCCTCGCTTCGATAATTTTCAAAAACAGTGGGTGTGATATACCTGTTACTTCTTAAATTCTCCTCAATATCTATGGACACTGGCACTTACCCTAGTGAGTGGGAAACCAGCTTCATAATTCCACATTACAAATCTGGTGATAAGGTAAACGTCCGCAATTACAGACCCATAAATATAACTCCAGTTATCTCACGAATCATAGGGAAAGTTGTAAAAGATCAATTGTCAGACTACCTACTTAGGGAAGATCTTGTTACAAGGTCTCAACACGGATTTCTCAAAAATAGATCTTGCGTTACTTGCCACTTCGACTTTTCAACTGCATCACTAGTAGTCGTGAAGCACGAAAGCTAGTAGTTATTCTCTACTTCGATATATCTGGGGCATTTGACATGGTATCTCACGGTATTCTTTTTGAGAA